TTTTTTTTCTCCCCTTGCGTATTTTCCCATTTGGAAACCGTCGCGGTTGAGCAATCCCCGAGGTGCAGATACAAAAGTATGCTCACCACATTTCGCAGGTCTCTCTTTCGGGTTGCTCGCTTTAATTTTGCCCCTCACACACAAAGAGGACAAGTAAAAAGAAAACAGGCCACCAACACGTTACGTATCCAGGAGGGGACCATCCTATCACTCTTCATGTAATTATTTTGTGGACATTGCAAATAGGGCTGACTGAGGGGACACATCACATTGAATGCAGTGCCTCATCCGGTTTGTTCCCTCCTCCACGTGGGTCACTTTTCTTATCGTGGCGGAGGTACAACACCTAGCAGATTCGACTGCGTAGCGTTCCTTCTTTTTCCTTTTGTGCGCACCCCTTATGCGGCTTGTCCAGTGGGGTATCTCTCCTCTTCAAATGTAGGCGCAAATTCCGTTTTTAAATCTTAACATTTGCAACAGTTGTACAAAAAAAAAAAAAAAAAAAAAAGAAAAAAATAGCTAGCTGCATGAACCGTTCAGGTTAAAAAACTACATTTTTTGCCACCTCTATTGGGGAAATAAATTCACTGCACGACATGCACATAAGTAGGCGGTTATTTGCGCCAGCTGTACACGTGCGATGATTACATAGCTGCGTTTTCCCTTGGAAGAGAAACACCTTGTGGGGTCCATCCCCCAATGTGCCACTTGGCGCGGCGCTCGTTCTCGCCTGCCCTGTCCTTCAGGCAATTGTGTGAACGGTGTGCAATTTGTTCATGGGAAGTAAAACACACCAGTAATGGGCTCGTCCATTTTTTGCCCATCTCAACAAAAAAAATAAAATAACATAAACAAAACAAGGTAATAAAAAAAACAGGCAATTCCTTCTTCATCGAAACTCAAAACATGTTTTCACCTGAATGTGTACAGGTGAATTAACTTTTTGTACAACATAGCCGAGAGCCATGTTCTCGATTGAGACTTCCAAAATGGGCCTCCGCTGTGCAGTGGTCAAACGGAGGGAGCGTTGTTCATTTACCGTGAGTCCGCTTCGCATCACTTCTTCTTCTCCTTTACACAGAGAGGGCAACACAAGCAACGTAACTGTTCATCCATTGCACATGCTTTCGCGTCCACTTCTGTTCCCCCCTCCACGCTGCATTATATTAAATCTTCCTCAACTTTTTACACTTGCAGCACTGCACATTTGCGTACACATTTTTGGCCTTACAACTGTAACACTCATAGTGCCCCCCCTTACTACTTGTGTGCTTGGCTCCACTGTCCGTTTTCTTCATTTGTGCCTTCTCCTTATGACCTTCGTTTGGGTTAAAGAGAAACTGATCTACTTGAACCATGTCATCGCCTAGGCTAAGTCCATATGCCTTCTCGAAGACGTCCTTTTCGTACTTGTTTTTTTCCTCCATGATATAACTGGGCAATAATTTCTCGCTCGCAATGTCGTTTGAAAAGTAATCGAATGCGTTGTAGGACACCTGTGGGGGTTCCTTGGCTTTCTTCGAACGCTCCCGCTGACTATCACTGTGTCGCTTTCTACCTCTGCTCCTGCTTCGGCTTCTCCTCCGTTCATTTTCCCCTCTTCTGGGATGGGTACTTTCACTGCGTCCTTCTTTCTTTTTCCTCCTTTTACTGGAGCCCCCCCATGAATCATATGGATGCGGCGAACGACTCCGCTGCGGTGAACGATTTCGATGGTGTTTTCGCTTCCTTCCTCCAGGACTACTCTCCCTTCCATGGTGCCGCTGCTTCTCCTTCCGTCCGAGCCTCCCCCCTGCAGCTTCTTCTTCTTCTTCTTCCTCGCGGCGTCCCGTTTTCGTCATTTTGCCAATTGGCGGCACGACATGCTCACCGGTGTGCCTGCACCTCCCTTTGGGAACCCCCTTCTCCTATTCTACTTCTTTTTCCACCCCCCCCTCTTTCTTCTGTGTGTACACCTATATAATCACTGCGTGTACACAAAGCGTTGGCCAAGAGAGCAACAGTCCAGGGGAAACAAAAAAATATTGCTCCAAGTTCACCCCATGCATGCTGTATAAAGAATGAGTACCTCTCTGTGTGGTGCCCACTTATATTACGCCACTCTGCGTTTCATCACAATGTGTTACCGTCATGTCATTTTGTTTCTGTTTCTGTTTCTGTTTCTGTTTTTTTTCGCAATCTCAACAAAAAAAAAGGGGCGCTATATTTTCATTTAGCATTTCCTGTAAATTAAATTGATGCTCCTCACTTTCCATTTTTTCTTGTCGTTTCGTAGCTTTGTTATAAGTCACTTTTTTTTATGGGCTTTTCTTCACATATACATGTATATATGTATATATTGTATATATATATATTTTTTTTTTTTTTTTTGTTGCTTTCCCTTGGACTGTCCTTTTCTCCACTTACCACCCACTGGGACTCACCAATTTGCAATTTTTTTTTTTTTTTTTTTTTTTTTTTAAGGGTCAGGTTAAAAAAAAACAAAATTAAAATTTTTTTTTTTCCCTTTTTTTGATACTCGTCAATTCTCCCATTCGTTCGCCACGTGTTTTTATATTTTTGTGTACTTTGTATTTCATTTTTTTTTTTCTTTTTCTTTTCCTTTTCATTTTTTTTTCGTTTCATTTTTTGGGTTTCCCCCTGTACGACTGATAATTCACGTTTTACGTTTTGCCGTTTGTGTGTTTTTTTTTTTTTTTTTTTTTTTTTTCGCGTTTGACCGTTTTATACCTTTTGACCGTTTGGGCCTCACCCGTTAGGACTCTTTCCTCCTGGGGGGTTCACCATCAACGCGCTTCTCCACTTCGCCACTTCGCCGCTTCGCTGATTCGCTGCTGCGTCGCACAAGCCAAGCGTGACGAGAGAAAAAAGAAAGGCAACACTGTAGGGGGAGGGCCAACCGCCACATTATCGAGTGAACGAACGCGACCCTGCGTGCCTAAATATGGAACGTAGGAAGTAAAGCAAAAAAAAAAAAAAAAAAAAAAAAAAAGCAACTATACTCACCTTTTCTGAGTGTACGTGTGAAGGAAGACAAAGACGAAGGACAACCATAAGTTAGAGTAAAAAAAAAGGGGGACCACAAGGAACTCACCATCACTGCACATTTGCCACAATATTGCCACCACCACCCATCGTTATCTCTTTTCGTCTCCAGCCCCCCCTAACTCCGAAGAGGCAAAGCAGCCGTCGCAATTTTCTACAAACGCCATTTCCATATATAATAACACACAAGGGACGAACAAAAAAAAAAAAAAACATGCTTTCATCACCAAGGGGAAGAAGACTGTCACCACCTTTTATCGTTTAACACAAATAGCAGCTGGGTATAGGAGAGGAAAAGAGGCCTAACACTTCCTTTTTCTTTATCCTTTTTTTGTCGCACCTCTTTTTTTTTTAACACTCTGCCGCTACCCCCCTGTTACAAGTCAAGTAAGGATTCGTTGAGGTCTCTCGTTTTTTTTTTTTTACCCCTGTTGTGGATCGACCCGCTTCATTATTGCTTCGTACGTGCATTTCCATACCGCATGCCCACGTGGATATGCCTTTCACTCTTACTCTCCCTCACACTGACCTACCGACAGGATGGACGGCATCATTTCAACAGGAAGTATGATCTATTTAATTATCTGGTTTGTCTCGTGCTTTTTGTTTTGTCTCCTGTTCGCACGAGAGGGGAAGATATCTCGAATGGACATGGTGAAGTAAGGACTACACAGCTCATCTTCAACCGAGCGCATGTGTTGTGTATTCTTTAGGAGGCGATCTGATATGTGTACATTTATATTGTCGTACCGATTGATTCAGCTCCACCAATCGTCATGTTTTTTTTTTTTTTTTTTTTTTTCCCTTTGCAGACTCATCATCACGCTGGTGTCGCTCGCCGTCTTTTGCCTGTGGATATTGTAAGTGGAGAGGGAGACAGTGCTTCGAGTTAGCTTTTTTTTTTTTTTTTGTACAATTGTTTACCATATAAATGAATTACAACGTGTGTAACCCCACCGCTTGGTCCCCCACCAACGTTATTTTATTCCTCTCCTCCCCCTTCCTTTTTTGCAGCTGGCTCTGCGTGTACTTGTCGCAACTCAACCCGATGGTGCTACCAATTCGAAGAAGCGTTAAGGAGTGAAAAGAATATATATATATATATATATATATATATATATATATATATATATATATATATATATAACTTAGGGCGATGATAGAAGTGGAGCAGAAAAGGAAACGAAGAAGAAAAAGAAAAACATAACCGTTCGTCGTGGACACATGCGAAACAACAAATCCTGTCTCATGTTCAAGTAGCCCCCCCTTACGTCAATGTTGCAGACACATGTGTAAGGCGCTTCCTGCACACAGGGGGGGTAGTATACACAACCCCACTTGTACATGTGGAGTGTTAGCACGTGGGAAAAGAACACCGTATCGTTATCCATCTCTCCCTCCATTTTTTGTGACTTTTTTTTTTTTTTTTTTAATCCCGAATGTAATAAACCTATTCTTTTAGAAAAAAAAAAAAAATTAAAAAAAAAATTGTCCATTTGGCAATTTGCAGTTTACAGATAAGATAATTAAAAAAAGTTTTTTTTTTTTTTTTTTCCATCATCCATCAGTGGTGAATAATGCCATGTGGTGGGTGGGACGTGGTTACAGGGGAGACATCTCAATTGGTTGCACAGAAGGGATCTCCCGTTTTTGCGCTTGTGTACATGTGTACGTGTACATGTGTACATGTATGACCGTCCGTCTTGCAAAGAGGGTAAGGTGCCGTTTCCCCTTCACACCCACACCCCGGTGAAGGACGGCATGATCACCATTAAAAAAAAAAAAAAAAACAAAATTGCAAATTGGTGAGTCCCAGTGAGTAGTAAGTGGTTGGTCCCCCCCCCCATTTTTTCATTTTTTCATTTCTTCAAATCCCTTTCGGCATCCAAGGTGGCTTTAAAGTTCTGCAATTCTGACTCCACCTTCAAAATGAATTTATCATCATCGTCGTCGTCATCGTCCCATCCTGCAGCAGAAACGTGTGCATGTAATAAACATATATATATATATATATATATATATATATATATATATATAAATTACGAATGCATACATATGTAAAGTAATGAAGGACACACACATGGAGTTGATATGGATGAACATTCTCGCTGTTGGGGTCGTTCTCCCTACCCGCTGCTCCCCAGTCCTCTTCCCAATTCTCCAAATCTGTATCTACGTTATGGGCTGTGCTGCCTGCGGGGGGGGGGGGAGGAATACATTTCATGGGTTGCACTTGCGCTGCGCAAAACTCGATTGCCCTCGCGCACGATTGTATGGCATCCCCTCATGAGTGGATTAAACTTTACCCATCTCTTCGAACTCCTCCAGTTCATCATCGGGCTCATCAAATATATAAATATTATCATCGTTCAGGTCGTTCGGCTTTACCCCCTCCTTGCCATCCTTCATGGGGTCATTTAAGTTGCTGTTCTCGGGAGTATTTTTTTGCATTGGGGTGTGAGGAACTTTCAGAAGTGGACACAAGTTTGTTAGGTGAACAAAGAGGGGCCTGATTGGCTGACCAGTCTGCTGGCCCGTTCGCGGGCTCCTCAAATGTGCGAAGGCAAACAGGACCGATCACCTACGTTTCTGTAACTCACCACCTACGCATGTAACTGCCGTACCACTGGGTGTATAATTTACGTGTGGGATTGCGCATCAAGTCCCCCCACCCTCTGTGCTTGGGCATACAAAATTTCTCACTTGGAATTAACCTTCGCTTAGCAAAAGTAATCACTCTTCAAATCGGTTAAGTTTGATTTACCCATGCGCGTGCAATCGCCAATATGCCTGACTGGTATTTTTTTTTTTTTTTTTTTTTTTTTTTTTTTTTTTTTTTCTTCTTATTTTGTCACCCTGCTTCGAAACGTTGCACTGCGCCCCTTGCCCCGCACGTCGCTCCCTCGGCACGAACCCCTACGGCGTGTGGCAAAAAAAACAA